ATTATTAATTCATTAGTTAACGAATAAGTAGTAACAAACAAAAATAATAGTCCAACACCATAAGTAAAAAAGAAAATAGCTCGTTGTGTCCCTGTAGCGCAATGGATAGCGAGTTGGAATTCTAATTCCAAAGGTCGTGGGCTCGAATGCCACCTGAGATGGCCTAATTTCTGAGAACATGTTTACTTTTTACTATACTATTTTATTGGAATAGTTAAATTAAAAAAAGAATAAAAAGTAAACAAAAGTAATAGTCCAACACTATATGTAGAAAGGAAAATGGAAAATTGCAAGGAAAATAGCTTTCTATTTTGCCACTTAACTTTGTGATTCTGTCATATGTATATACATATTTATATTAATTGTAATTATTTAATATAAAGTTACTAAAATAAAAAATTTTCTTTGCTGATCTAAGTAGGAATTGACTTAAAAAAAATTTATACTACTTGTTTATATATAACATGTACTTGTAAAAAAAAAAAAATTCTGCTCTAAATTTAGGGCATGATAACTGAAGAAAAAGAATTTATTATTTCAAATTTCTGTTTAAAAAAAATTCTAAATTTCTTGCTGATGGCTACAAAAACAATCATTATATTTTCTTTCGAGATGGCAATTTCGAAATATTTCTTTTCATACTCTTGGGAAGTTGAATAATTCAGTAAAAATAATACTCAAGGCAAAACACTGTCAATTATATTTCAATGTTAACTTTATCAATGGATTCAATTCAATACTATACATACTGGCCAAGTAACTATGTATTGGAACTTTGTTAAAAGAAATTTTTATTTATTTTTTTTATTTTTGTCATTGCTCCATCCTACGTTCTGTTTTTTTCTTGCCATTAGTTTCCTGCTTTTCATTTTAAGATAAGCTAGTCAGCTTTCTCTTCTTGTGATGACGTGTATGTTAAGAAACTTTCAGTTTTATTTACTGTTGATGCAAAGTATTTTTGCAACCCTTCGTTTTAATACATGTACCCATAAACATGTTTTATGAAGCGACGACATACAAAATTTGACCCCAGAAGATTATCGCGAGTGATAGATAGTAGTCTCTTCAGAATACCATATCGCTTTGATGACCTGATGGTTAATGTTGGATCCGATGACAACTTGAGAGGGAAAAAAAATTAAAATACCATGCAAATTATTAGCAATTTTTTTCCTTCTCTTAGCTAAGTGAACTGTTTTTCTAAGCTGTTATGGAAGAGTTTTAAATTTCGTGGTACAACACATGCAAATTAGTTGTTTTTTTCCCCCTCTCTTGACCTTATTACCATTTTTTTTTTCAAACTACTCTATCCTCCCTGTTCTGTTGGTTTTAGGTTCTGTCCTCATAATTCCTATTCTCTAAACAGCACTTGGTGTGTTTTATTCTTGACTATGCATTAACTAGAGCTTCTGTGCTATTTTGCATCAATAGAGGGAGGATGATTTCATACATATGCTTTAAAGACGAGCAGTTTTTGAATGTCTGCTTCACGGAGAATTATAAATCTGCTAAAAAATAAGTAAGTCTTAATTAAAACTTAAGTATCTACAAAAAACATTCAGTTAACATTGATTCTTTTTATATATATATATATATATATATAAATGGTATTATAAACTTTTCATCCTTTGTTCTACGGTGCATTGTTATTTAAATGTTTTAAATCAAAAAAGAGCAATGTGCATTGTATAGCATTTAAGATCTTAAAATATAAATACTCTCCGCAAATTACTCATTAAAAAAAATCGCCTATCTTTTATGATCACAATCTGCTGTAGCTCTAAGTATAGTCTCTTCTTCCAACTTAACCCATATTGTCTCTTCTTCTAACTTAACCCATAGGATTCTTAAAATACTTCTAGTTGCATCTTTTTTTAGATTTGATTTAAAAACCACTGAAAATTTAGTTTTAAAAATGTCTTTCTTTTCAGTTAACTTTTATATGCACAAAATTTTGAAATATTTTTATGAATTACATGTCCACGTACTTGACCCTTTAAGATGATATAACCTGCTTCTAGTAATATTTTATTATAGGTTTCTTAGATCCATGGTTGTAATTGATTTAATGAGACTCTTATGAATTGGCAGCAAGAAGTTTTTTAATTAATCCAATGTTTATTTAAATATATTACTTAACCTTTTACCACAAAGCCTCTTTACAATTTCTCATTTAGTTTGTTCGTATCGTTACATCTCTTTTTGGTTTGTTTTCAACATCTCGAGTGAGTTGCCACTCATTTCAAACTAAAATGTACAAAAAAAGTAACTCTCTTACCATAGAGGACGCAACAAGTATACTGTAATGTGTACTTACAGAATATACCGGATTCTTTATAATTCTCTTCCTACGCTTATTTTCATTTTGATCAGCATTAACAATTATATTAAAATAAAAAAAAACACTATATATATATATATATATATATATATGTTTATTCAATCTTGTATATCCTCGTAAAGTAAAATGGTCTACTTTACTGAAACATTCACATGAAAAAATCTAATCTTACTTTTTTTCTAAATGTTGAAGAAAATGCCCGTTTCTAGAAATTTCCAGCGTATTTAACATTTCGTAATAAATACAATAATAATTGGTATAAAAAATAAGAAAAAAAGGATGGTAATGACCTGCTTAAGGAATATTAGTGAAAAAACGATACTTTTTTTTTTAAAAAAAAGTACTAATGTATTTTTGCACTTGTGTTTTAGATATAGTCTCCACCCTAGAAAACGAAATAAGGATAAATTGGTGTCGAAAACGTGACTGGCATTCCAAACCATAATCACGTATTTAGACAAGATCCTCGTTCTCCTATTTTTCGACATATGCATTGTTGGTATTTAAAAGTGGAAACTGAGTTTCCAATCAATTGTAGAATGGCAATATATTTTGTTAATATTCCCATCTCCTTTGTGTGTATTTTGTTTCAATTAAAATAATTTTTTTTTTTTTTTTTTTGAGGATTTAAAATATTTTTTCCAAAATAATTGCATATTGTGAAGAAAATATGAAAAACTAACTTTAAAAGGATTCTGATCTCAAAATATATATATATTTTTTTTATCGTTAAATTTAAATCAAGTTGTTCACCAAAGAATTTAATTGCTTTCTACTAAACAAAAAATTTATTCGCAGTATTTGAATTGATAATCTGTGTGTGTGTGTACTTAACTAACATAATTTTCTTACTTAATTCGTAATTTTAAATGTTCTTCATACACATTTTATAAGAAGTTTTTTTTTCTTACGATATTTATTAAAACTGAATTATTTTCAGCACCCTCTTTAAAGGTATCTCATTCTTTTCCAGTAGCATGAAAACATTCTTTTAATGAATATTTTATTGGTGTAAAAAAATTTATATTTTGCAGAAGATCGTACAAATGTTCAGATCAATGATAGTTTCCTACATTTTTAAATAACAAATATCTATATATATATATTTGTTTGCTTTTTCTTATGGGGAGGAAGGTATAAAATCAAATAATTTAATTTTGTAATTAGCAAATTACAAAAAAAACAACAACAGCATTCGGAACGCTCGCATTGTTTTAAAGCGCTTGGGACTAAAATATTCATTTCATTCGAATATTTATTATATTTTTAATTATGCGCTTAATTTCTCGTGTTTTTACTTGCAAACAGTATAAAGCTTCAATTTTTATGGCAACAAAGAAAAATAAAGGATAATAATTAAAACTCTTGCATTGTAAAAATGCTAATGTAAAAGGAAAATATAATTTTTTTCTTTTAGTGTTAAAAAACGATATATATATATATGTGTGTGTGTAGTATCAATTATTTCTTTATAAAATTCTGCATTACGTGCAAAGAAGTCTTTCACAAATCAACATGTGGTCAGAAATCGGATGCATCATGAACCGTGATCGTGTAAAGTGCGATTTAAACGTAAATATTTGTCACCGTGTCATTTCAAAGGTAAAATAGCCAGTGAAGAAAGGGTTGCGTGACCAACTACCCCTTTCTGTCCCTCCCTCTTTTCTTTGCCGCTTATTTATTTGTATGTTGGGTCCGCAGTTTTCTTTTCTTTCATTTTCACGATTTTCTTTATTGCCTGTTTATAACATACGCTGGGGGGAGGGATTCTGTCATTTCATGACGTCACCCTTTCACGGAATATAGCCTTTATCGTAAAGCACTTCTTGTTGATGGAAGTTGATGAATGGGCTCGAAAAATCGACAAAACATATGCTACTTTTATTATTTTTCCATTATTATTATTATTTTCCAAAGTTTTGTAAATTTGTGCGGTCAGTTTCTTTTTGGGAAAAAAAGGGATAAACGTTAAATTTATTGTATTGGGTGAAATATATTTGTTTATCCTTTTTTTCTCTCCCTGTTGGAGTGACTATACATTTTGGATTAGTATTCGTACATAGTTATTTATAGTTTCGATTAAAATAGTTTGCCAGATGAAGGACACTTATGATTGATGAATTATAGGTGGTTGAGTTCTTCCCCCACCCCACCCCTTTGTAAGTTTTAAAAGGTATAAAGTTGTTTTTCTGTTGTTACCCAATCAGTTCGTTGGACATATTCCAATTGAAGAACGGAAGATATTTTTACTGAAAATTTAAGGTTGGGATGCTGTACATAATCTCAGAATTTAGTAACACGTAAATGTATTTGGGCTACATCATTATAAATAATTATAAGTTTTTTTGTTTTGTTTTTTTGTTTTGTTCTGTGGAATAAAACTTAACTTTCCCGTTCGGATGAACTATTCATTCAGTACGATATTAAATAATTTACATTCAACTGTTAAACTTACGTAACATTTAATTTGGTCTTATTTTCTTGTAACATTTTAAAGTACAGAAAATCAAAATGTTTTCTTTAATATGAGGTGTAATGCAATGAGGTGTCAATTGAACAAATCGTGTTATGCTTCAAAATAGAAAGGTCTAGAAAGGCAATTGAATAATGTGTGTTGATACTTCCATAATGACCAAATGATTACATTTATCAATACGTTATGCATCGACTTATTTTGAGAAGGGTTCGTTATTATTATTTTCTTCTTCTTCTTCTTCAATGGCTCAACAGCCCTGTGGATGGGCCCCGGCCTTCTCCAGAAGTCTTTACCAGACATCTCTACTTTTGGCAACTGTTTTCCAGTTTTGAACCTTTAAAATA